AACACCTTTAAATGATTTAATTGTGGCTTTCGATCGTGCCACATTTCATATGGCGTTTTATTTGTGTTGAGCGCTTTTGTCGGGGTTCTGTTGATAAGATATGTAGCAGTTTGAACTGCTTCACCCCAAAATGACTTATCAAGATCTGCAGAACTTAACATTGATCGTACTTTTTCGGTTATTGTACGATTCATACGTTCTGCTACGCCATTTTGTTGTGGTGTTTGAGGAACCGTTAAATGGAATGCTATTCCTTTTTCTAAACAAAATTCCTTTATTGAAATTTGCCGTTGCTAATATGGCCTAAACGTTCATGCCATAAACGAAAATTGTCGCTATTTCTGACCATTAATGTACTTCCACTCTCGGTCATGTTTTTACTAATTCTAAACTTCACACCAAATAAACCATTATATGTCTTACCTTTTAATATTGTTTTATCCGTCTTATCCTGTACTTGAACACCCTGATCGAATACCACTTTCTTACCACTCTCTTGAATTCGACGAATGGATAGTAAGTTGGGTGTAGCCTGGGGTGTAAATAACACATCTTGCAAGGTTCCAGTGAAACCCAACGTGGTGGTAACGTGGATTAGACCACGCTTTGTCGCCGTCATGAATTCGCCGGTTTTCGCAACAGCAACCTGGAGTGGCGGTGACAAAACAGACCAGGAGGTAAAAAAGTCATCTCTGTTGATCATATGGTCCGTGGCTCCCGAATCGAGAATGAAAACGACGCTGTCAGGGGTGTCGTTTTGTAGATTTTCATCACAGCTAGTCATCATGAAGGCAAAGTGGTCGGTGTTCGCAAGCTTTGATTGTGGTGGTTGTATATCACCTGGATTTTGTTCTTGCTTTGTCAACATCCGTTTATAATAATAACAGTCACCCTTTTGATGATTGCGTCGGCCACAGTGTTCACATTTCATATGTGATAATTTATAGTAAGATTTCGAAGAGGATGTTTGTCGAAATTTTTGTGCCCTTCTTTTGAAAAACTTCTTCGTATTTCGTACGCTTTTGAAGTTATCTTGACTCCCACTGGGTTTCTGCGATGAATAAGAACTGCTCGTTCTTAAGGCCTTTAGGTTAGTGGCTGTTTCTCCCGTTTGTAGTTTGACTTCGTGATCTAACAAACGAGTTTTGACAAAGGCGAGGCTCAAATTGTCCGCTCCCAGGGTTTCTAATGCAGTTATTACACCGTCGTAAGAGGACGGTAACGTCAAAAGTAGATGGGACACTTTGTCCATCTCTTCTAACACGGCTCCGGCTGCAACTAAATCTGCAATGATGACATCGAAGCGGGTGAAGTGTTGGAATAAGGTGTTATCGCCTTGGAGTTTCAGGCTTAATAGTTGTTTTCTTAACGCCAACTGAGTTGCCAAACTTCTTCTTTCGTAGATATTGTCTAGTTTGGCTAGTATCTCTCGTGCTTGTTCATTCTCTTTTGCAAAACCAAGAAACGAGTCGTGGAGATATTCTACGATGACATTTTTCGCTGTTGAATCTTGTTTCTTCCACTCATCTGTAATCACTGGTGGTACGGCACTGTCTATGACATGTAGCACTTCCAACTCAGCCAACAATGCCCGAATTCTAAATTTCCACACACTATACTTTTCACCCTTAAACGGTTGTATATTTCGCTTTACACGTGTGTTATCCATTTTCAGTTTATTTCGTTTGTCGCGCCGGCACGTAACACGCTATACACACACTTTACGCGTAGACTGGGCCCATAACCTCTAGGAAATGGGTTAATTAAAACACAATTGTCCTTAAAGTGCGTGTATTAAAAATGCGATCCGTTCGTTTTAAAAGCTTATTACGAACTAACTTTTAAGATCACAAATACGCATATATAAAATATAAACTGAAGTACTCAGCGTTTCTCGGGCGCCTTACATTTATCGCCCTTTATAAACAAATACTTAACAGTAAGCTAAACAGAGAAAATATGGGATATGGTCGTAATAATTTTTGCCTTGATTAATATATTGAATTACAACAAGGGAAAATCTAAAAAATTGAAAAATCGAAAATTTGAATAACCGAAAATTGGGGGAAACAATGAAAAAACCAAGTATAGAAATAACTGAAGAATGGCAAAAATGAAAAATTGGGAAATTAAAAAATTGAAAATTTAAATAATTGAAAAATGGAAAATTTGTTTAATGGAAAAGCTGGGAAAAGAGACACTGAATAATTGAAGAATCGAGAAATTGAAAAATTATAAATTACAATTTCTCAAGTTTTGAATCTTTAGTTTTCTGGATTTTCGGATTTTTCGACTTGTTGATTTTTCAGTGTCTTGATTTTCCAACCTTTTGAAAAATCGATAATTCGAAAAATCTAAAAATCTAAAAAGCAAAAAACCGAAAAAGTCAGAAATCTTAAAATCGAAAGATCGAAAAATCGACAAACTGAAATACCGAAAAACTGAAAATACGAGAAAATCAAAAGTTGAAAGATCTAATAGTTGAAAAATTAAGAAAACGGTAATTCGAAAGAACGAGGAACATAGATATCAAAAAATTGAAAACTTGAGAAATTGAAAGATTTAAAAACCGAAAAATCAAAAATTTGTATAATCGAAAAGCGGGATGTCGAAAAATCGATATATCCAGAAATTAAATAATCGCGAAAGTCAAAATTTGGAAAATAGAGAAATTGAAAAATCGCAAATTCCAATTTCCTGATTTTTCAATTTTTGGGTGTTTTAATTTTTGAATTTTTGGATTTTTCAATTTTTCGACTTTTTGGATCATTAAAAAATCGAAAAATCAAAAAACCAAAAAATCAAAAATCAAAAAATTCAAAAATCGTGAGTTCGACAAATCGACAGTTTGAAAAATCGAGAAATCGGAGAGTCGAATAAATAAAAAAATCGAAAAAAAATCCCAAAATTCAAAAAACAAGAAATCGAAATATCGAAAGAGAGAAATCGAGGAACAGAACAATATAAAAATTGAAAATTTGTGTTAAAAGTTCCAAAAATTGAAAAATTGAAAATTGTATAATCGAAAAATTGGGTGATGGAGAAATTAAAAAACCGAGACAACAAATAATTGAACAATCGAAAAAGTGAAAAATCAATAATTTGAAAATTTGGATCATTGAGAAAAGGATAAATTTAGAAATGGAAAATCAAAAAATAGACAACAAGAAAGACAAAAATTGAAAAATCGAGAAACTGAAGTATCGAGAAATTGAAAATTCGAGAAATCGAAAATCTAAAAAATTGAAAAACCAAGTCTACGAACAATTAAAGAATCGAAAAATAGAATAATCTAAAAACCGAAAAATCTAAAATTTGAAATATCGAAAATCGAAAAATCGAAAATTTGAATAACCGAAAAATGGGGGAAAAAATGAAAAACCAAGTACATATACAATAACCAAATAATCGAAAAATCGGAAAGAGCAAAAATCCTGTCAATCAATCAATCAATCAATCAATCAATGCTTTATTGGTATTAAAAACTTACAAATCCAGTTTTTTACAAATCAATTATATACATAGAACAAATTAAATAAATAAATCATTAAAATTTTTACAACGAAGATTTTAAGATTTTAATATAAAAAAAAGGTTTATTACGAAACTTTTCGGGAAACACCTTAAAAAATCCTGGATTCGAAAAGTTGAAAAATCAAAAAATTGAGAAACTGAAATTTGGAAAAATTGAAAATTCCAGAAATTGAAAATCTAAAAAAATTGAAAATTCGATTAGTGGAAAAAATAGGGAAATAGAAAAATTGAAAAACCAATAAGTTTACGAATAAATGAAGAATCGAAAAAGTGAAAAATCGAAAAAAGTAGAAATCCTGTAATCGAGAAATCGAAAAATCTAAAGATCGAAAAGCAGAAATCCTGAAATCGAAACGTTGAAAAATTGAGAAATCGAGACACTGAAAATCTGAGAAATTGGAAATTGGAAATTTTGAATACTGGAAAGAATTAGGAAATAGAAAAACTGAAAAACCTAGTATACGAATAATTGAAGAATCGAAAAAGTGAAGAATTGGAAAATTGAAAATTTAATTGAATTTAATTGAAAAAGACAAAATCTGACCTGTCCTGACCTGCCATGATCTGACAAGCATGAGATCACCGCTGTGAGCATGAGGGAAATACTGTATACCTGCATTCTTCATACCAAATTTTTAGTTAGGGAGTTTTGGGTGTAAGTGTGGACGGTCTCTAGAGGGTGTGAAGATTTCCATTCTCAATTTACTATTTATTACTCATGGGGGCTCACTTTGAAGTCCCTTAGTGTCTTTAATGGCTTCGTGGGGGTATTCGAGGGTGATGTGGGCGAAGCGAAAAATCTCGCTTTATCAAACTAGAGAATAATTGAAGACGCTGTTTACACACATATTCCTGTAACCAAATAACATATTGTCACATTAGATTTTTTGAGTTTTAAAGTTTCGACATTCCTCTCTTCGGGAAATGGCCCAGCCGCGAGTTACGGGGGAGACCGGGGAGACCATAATGCTGAGCTTGCCATAGATTGATGAACTGTGATTTTGCAAGCTCAGCACGAGGGAGTCTTCCTGGGCTCGTGCCGGAGCTCCGGAAGGCAGAGTGTGTGTGGGGGCCCACGGCGACAACACGAGTAGTAGGTGAGTAGTTCCTTTTTTTTTGTAAATTTATTTCGGTTATTTAAAATAAATAGATCTTAAGTTTTTTCTAAAATTTTTGAAGTTTTATTTTTTTCGGAGTGTGGGTTCTTTTTTTGAAGATCGTGTCCAGAATTTCTTAAAAAATTTTATCACGGAATTTACTTTTACTTGTATGACAAGTATTCCATCAATATGGCAACTTTATCATGTTCTCTTCTAGCCACGAATAGTTTTGGTAACATATTTCTTTTCAATTTCGGTTTTATTATCCTCATACAGGGATTTTGTATGTTAAGAGAAACTGGGAAATATTGTAGAAAATAAAAAAATGTACTTAAATCCTTTTTTATTTATTTTCGAACCCTTATTCTATTCTATGTGTGTATGAAAAGGATTCCGATTGAATGTGCAGCTACAACAGAATAAGAAAACACCTTTTACTAAACCGCCAATTTCCCCGATAACTCCAAAAACGCCTCCACCACCGCCACTACTATATTTGCTATGGTCCATGAATTCCTTCTCTTTAATTTCGAATATATTATTTTCGTATATCTCCTCACATGCCTAAAAAGGGCATTTTATTATTTTACGCAACTACTTACATCAACCATAAGGTACTTACTTCCTTTAAACGCTGCCCAAATTTGTATCGCAGTACTTGCTCGCAATTCAAGTTTTTAGTTAGCTTTTCAAATTTCGTCAAAATCGTCAACAGCTGCTTCTCAGCTTCACTTGATTGTCTCCATTGCTTTACAAACTCAGTGTACTCAGTTTTTAGTTCATCAAAATTGTTTAAAAGCGTGAGAAAATTGTTGTACACCTCATCAAGCAACTAAAAGGAAATTTGTTATTAAATTTTTCCCTCGGCTTTTATAGACAGATATTTCAAAGCTGAACTTGATACCAAAATCATTTATAGTTATCACTATAGATAATCACTCACAAGGAGTCAGTTACGTCTTCAATTAAATTTAAAAAAGTAACTACCTTTGTCAATCTTTGTTCGAATCTCTTTCGCAGCTCATCTGTGCCCAACTTCATCTCTCTTGTCTTTTTAAATGAGTCCAAAATTTTGCTTTTCTCAACAGTGGCGTCCTCTTGAATTTCGCAACACCGTAAATTCGCCTTGTATTGTTCTACCATTTGTTCCATTCGTTGTTGAAGCGAAATCTCAGCATTTGCCTAAAAATACAAAGCAACAATGGAGAAAGCAATGGTTTGAAACGCATACCATGTAAATTGTTTTAATACTGAAGTTCCTTGCCCGATTAATGTGTTTCCAATAAGTATTAATAAATGCAAGTAAATTCTCCACCGTGACGAATTCATGGTTGATCTTTTTTGCCACCAAATTCTCTGGTGTCAAAAGATTATCAACAAAGGTTTTCACATAAACACGAAATTTTTCTCCAATGTCTAAAAAAAAACGTTACGAAAATAATTGGTGGAATTTGCAAAAACCAGAATCACCCTCAAAATGGCCCTCAAATTTCTTCTCCTCGACTTTCTCTCCAGGATGTGGCATCAGAAAGCACCGAACTTTCTCGAAATTGTCTTCAATAGTCTGTTGTATTTCGCTTAGATTGGATTGTTTATGTTCTTCGAATTTAGACTCCAATAATTTGTTGCCGCCGTCGAAACCGAAATCGAATTCTTCAAAATTTATCCAATCTCTTATCAAGATTAACAAATCTTGAAAAGGTTTATTGTCTGAGTTGTCAATGTCAGGGTTAGAAAACATCGCCCCATATCCCGTAAATAACTACAAAAGGAACAAATAAATAAATTCCCATGAGTCAAAATAAAGACTTCACTTGTAAAATCTTCAGGTCATCTAAATTGAGTCTCTTTTGAACGTTGTAAATTTGAACTGAGCTAATTAATGCACTGAGAGCAAAAATTTTAGTGCAGACAGTGTCAGAGATTCTGTGGTCAGACGTTCCTTGAGTGTCCATCAATATTATAGCAATCTAAAACATACAGTCCCATGCACTTATTTCTTAACTACATATAATAAAGAGTTTTACTTTTTCGCCATCTTTTGTTTTTGTTAAAAAAATTTCCGGAAATATAAGTATACCATCTGTCACTCTCTGCTCAGTTTTTTTCCATAAAAATTCACGAGTCAGTATGTCACCAGTTTTCATCCATTCTTGCTGTACACTCTGGCACTAAGAGATATACACAAAAATCCAGACATTAATTTTTGCTAACTTTGATTGCAGCTTGTTTATTTACCGAAAGTTAGAAACGGTTTTTAAGTTGTTGTTAACCACAGAATACTTTACCTTCTGTCTAAGGCAATGCGCAAAGATACTGAGAAGAAAAGATTTTCCTGTTCTGAAGCTTCCATTCACTGAGATGATGCAAACTTTGCAGTCTTTGATCTCATCGTGTTTCAGTAACTGTAGATTATCTTTTTCTAATATAAGTTCCTCCTTTTGGAATCTGAAAATTTGAAGAGCTTCCTGTTTGTTACCCTGAAAAAATATACAACTCGTATTTATTGGAAAATGACAACAGTTAAGTAGAAAGTTTTAATTTCTAAAGATCTATAAAAGATGTTTTAGTTTTCAATCCCATTTTACATTGTTTAGATAACTGTAATCACAGATTATCACTTTGATTACAGTTATATGTATTATAAATTTCTGTTTATTTTAACGAGCACCGCACCGCCCAATACTCACCTCTTTTCCAACAAGGGACACAATTTTAACTGAATTCTCTGCAGTGTCTGAACCAGAAGCCATTCTGAAGCACTGTTTAATTTGCGGATTAAACTCAGCTAAAAAAAAAAATGCAATGCGAACGAACTGAGTTCGATTAATTTTTAATCTGCACACACGTTTCACCATTTACCTCATGCTTCTGGTATTTTTTTCTTTCCGGGATGCCCCACCAAGAATTTTGGGACCGGAGTTTGTAGAAGAACTAATTTTTATCACAAGCACACAGTCTCTTTTATCAACTCTGACTTATCTTTAATAAAATTATCGCCAGTTGCAAAGTGTTTTTAATCACACCGAAGGCTAGATCAACCCGTTGGAAAGATGTAGAGTACAGTTTCGATCTTATTATATCTTATGAGTACTGCACATTCCATCATTATCTAGCATTCGTTGTGTTTCGCTTTTGTGCTTAAGCTTAGTAACCAGGTGTTAGTGAGATGTATGATCATTATCTCTGGTTGTTTCAAGAGTTCCTAGAAGTAGTTTTCAGTAAAATCACACAAGAAAATATGTCGTTCAATTATAAAAGCGATTTGTTGTTTGCTTATGGAATATGTTTTCCTTTTTACTTCCCGAGCGTAAGCCAAGGAAGTATTGTAATCGAGTCCGTCGGCCGACTCTCTACTTTTACGATTTCTCGATCTTTCATGACCCCTAGAAGACGAAGAAATAGGTCTCCCATTTCCCTCTGTCTGTCCGTCTGTCCGTCTGTCTGCCGTCCTGGATTTTTATTAGACAGATAATCTCCGAAAGTACTGGACCGATTGTTGTAAAATTTTGTACTTACATTAGGAACATCATGTAGATGGTAAAACGCTAACCAAAATTTGGCTAATCATCCCCACCACTAATGTGATGACGTCACTTCAAAATTGTACATAGTAAATGGATTTTAAATTGTATAAAATAATATAGTCCTAAACATGTAGTTTACGACTCTGAACTGAGTTTTTACCCGAAACATCCAGATTTTTGGAAAAAAAATCAAAATTATAAAACAACAGTTTCCAATTTAATTTTGTATCTGCTAATCCGAATGTTTTAAAATGTTGCAGATGTTTTAAGGCTATAAAAAGCATAATAAATCTTGACTCAAAATATATTTGGTAATCCCCTCCAAAACTTGATGACGTCAGCTCAAAAGTTTGCCAAATAAATCCTGTGTAAAATGTACAAAATATGATGAGTCTGTGCTTGTGATGTATCACTCTATTCATATTTTTTGGATTTGCATATACTGGGTGGCTCAAAAAAAATAATGAAATCTACTGCGAAAAAAAAACATCTAGACATGCAGTCGTCACGTTTCCGACAGCGAGGAAAGTACTGTCTAAACTCTTTAGACCAATTATTTTATTTTTTTTTTTTAATAACTTATAACTGCCAACTCTGATTTAAAAGGTTTTTGATGGCACCGCGTAAATAACAAAATTGTGAGTTGATAATTCAGAAGTTTAGAGTAATACTATTTTGCATATTTTGGAGAGGGTTTATTCGTCAAAATTTTGAGATGACGACATGAATTTTTTGAGAGGGATAAACGAATAAATTTTGCTTAACGTGTTACCATAATTACCATCTGGATTCTTAATTTATGGGGGCTGACCGTAGCCAGCCGGCACTTAGGCCTCGCCTTTGGGCCCATTGTATCTTCCCCAAGTCCATATCAGGGTGTTTTCCCGCTCCTCTACTCGTCAAGCCACCCAACTGCTTGAATGTACTTGAGTAATGCAGAGGGTGGAAACTCCCTGATATTTGCCATACTAGGCCAGATGTCCCCTAGTATGGATTCTCCCTGTAGGAGGCTAGGGCTGGACACTCACGAAGAATGTGCTCAGCTGTTTCCTCTTCTCCATTGCATCCACGACAGATTGGGTCTGTTACCACCCCTATCGTATATAGATGTTTGTTAAACTGGTAATGTCCCGTAAGGAATCCTACCAGTTTACGCAGTTTGTCCCTTGGAAGTGAGAGATAAAATTTCGTCAACTTACGGTCTGGTGTCGCCATACAAGCTCTACTATGCCGACAGCTGCTCAACTTCACCCATATCTGCTCATGGCGTCTCTGGGTATATTGCTTTACGAGTTCGTTCGAGAGGGCGACATAATTACCATAACCTTAAAATGTTTCCAAGATTTCAGAACATTCAATTTTTGCAGTTTGAATGTTAAATTGGAAAACATTGAAATACAATTTTGAATTTTTTTCCAAAAATCTGGATAGGGTGAAAATTCGATACAAAAACAGGATTATGTTATTTTACAAAATGAAAGAAAATACTACTATAAATTTTGGAGATGACGTCATCTCCATTGTTAGTAAGGATGATTAGCCAAATTTTAGGTAGTTTAATACCATCTACATAATATTCCTAATATAAATATAAAATTTGACAACAGTCGGTCCGGTTAGTTTCGGAAATTACAGTTCTAATAAAAATGGTTACAAACGCCACACAGGCAGACAGACAGATAGACGGAAACAGAAGACCACTTTTTTCGTACTCGCGAGGTCATTACAGGTTCAGAAAATATGAAAGTGGCAATCCGCCCGATGGACTCGATTACTATACTTCCATTGCATCCGCTCGGGAAGTAAAAAACAACAAAAAACACAAAAATTACCAAAAAAGCCCACAAAAAAAAAGAAGCAAAAAACAATTATATAAGGCAATAACAACGACGTTAAAAAATTGGTCTAAAGAGTTTAGCCAGTACTTCCCTCGCTGTCGGAAACTTGACGACTGCATGCCTATTGTGTTTTTTTTTCTCATTGCATTTTTGTAGTGGAAATTTAAAAAAAAAATGTGATGACGTCATCAACATTTTTGCAAGGACACGTATATCAGTTGGGATAGATGTAGTGTAATACTAAGAATAAAATTATTGTATTCCCAAATTTTCGGGAAAATGAATTGGGTCGTTTTGAATATTGATTTGTTATAATCAATAAAATAACGAAACAATTTACTCACGTATACGGCGCCGGTGTGTAATATCTAGAGAGCGGATTTCTGTCGGGCTAGGCAAGGCCAAACTCGGTACGGCTCGTACGGGTGGCGAATTCATTGCGGTTGCGGACTGCACGTCGTTTATTTGAGATTAGAATAACGCTGTTTCGTTGCACTCTGCTGTTAATTCCCGTTCTCATTTACTTAGCCGTTTGATTAACAAATCGTTAATTATATTTATGGAATTAGTACCGATTAAATTCAGTGATTATCTATCATCCGGCGATCCAGCACGTCCCCCCCTATAATCGTGACGTAGCCCGACAGAAATCCGCTGTCTAGTAATATGAGGGGCAACTGAAAATCGTTTATGTATAAACATTCTTAATTTAAGATGACAAGCGTAACAGCATACGTGAGAGTCAAACAGAGAAACTGTAAACAAAACGACCATCGGTTTTATTGCTTGGACTTCCGTTTATTATGTAAAACATTGGGTTTTATTTTAATTCTTGACGGTGAAATTCACAATTGGTTGATTATAAACATGTCTATTCTACAATTTCTACATTCGCGGAACAAAGTGAGCGCATAAAACAAATGCAGGTCTGTAATGTTAAAGTCGATGTAAATAAGCGTGCTACCCTTATGTTTCAACCGAGTTTTTCCTTTAACAAATTTTGTGTCTACCAAATTGGGTTGGTTGGGGTGTAATACTAATAATAAGTGTTGCCTTTAATTTAATCAATAAAATAAATTGACTTCATTATTTTTTTTGAACCACCTCTTAAGAAAATCTAAAAAATATGAATGGAATGATAAATCACAAGTACAAACTCATCATATTTTTTGCATTTTAGATAGGATTCATTCAGCAAAATTTAAGGGTGACGTCATCAATTTTTTTAGGAGGGATGAACAAATACATTTTGAACAAAAGTTTACCATGCTTATAATAACTTTAAAATATTCCCAAGATTTCAAAGCATTCGGTTTTGTAATTCCTGATTAAATCGATAAAATAAATTCACTCATTCATTAATTTTTTTGAGTCACCCTGCATGTGCAAATCCAAAAATATGAATGGAATCATAAATCACAAGTACAGACTCATCAAATTTTGTACATTTTAGATATGATTTATTCGGCAAATTTTCGAGCTGACGTCATCAAGTTTTTGGAGGGGATAAGCAAATATATTTTGACTAAACATTTATTATGCTCTTTATAACCTTAAAACATCTGCAACATGTTAGAGCATTCCGTTTTGTAGTTCCTGATTAAATCAATAAAATATATTTACGCATTCATTAATTTTTTTGAGTCACTCCGTATATGCAAATCCAAAAAATATGAATGGAGTGATAAATGACAAATACAGACTCCATCATATTTTGCACATTTTAGATATGATTTATTCGGCAAACTTTCGAGCTGACGTCATCAAGTTTTTGGAGGGGATAAGCAAATATATTTTGACTAAACATTTATTATGCTCTTTATAACCTTAAAACATCTGCAAGATTTCAGAGCATTCGGTTTTGTAGTTCCTGAGTAAATCAGTAAAATAAATTTTGCGCATTCATTAATTTTTTTGAGTCACCCTGTATATGCAAATCCAAAAAATATGAATGGAGTGATATATCACAAGTACAGACGCATCATATTTTGTACATTTTAGATAGGATTTATTCGGCAAACTTTTGAGCTGACGTCATCAAGTTTTTGGAGGGGATAACCAAATATATTTTGACTAAAGATTTATGATGCTCCTTATAGCCTTAAAACATCTGCAACATTTCAAAACATTCGGGTTAGCAGATTCAAAATTAAATTGCAAAATGTTGTTTTATGATTTTGATTTTTTTTTCAAAAATCTGGACGTTACGGGTAAAAACTGAATTCGGAGTCGTAAACTACATGTGTAGGACTATGTTATTTTATACAATTTAAGACCCATTTACTATGTACAATTTTGAAGTGACGTCATCGCATTAGTGGTGGGGATGATTAGACAAATTTTGGTTAGCGTTTTACCATCTACATGATATTCCTAATATAGGTACAAAATTTTACAACAATCGGTCCAGTACTTTCGGACATTATCTGTCTAATAAAAATCCGGGACGGCAGACGGACAGACGGACGGACAGACGAACGGACAGACGGACGGACAGACGGACGGACAGACAGACGGAAATGGGAGACCTATTTCTTCGTATTCTAGGGGTCATGAAAGATCGAGAAAACATAAAAGTAGAGAGTCGGCCGACGGATTCGATTACA